TATATGGGAACGGGGTAGAAGTAAAAACATGTCAGTGACTAAACAAATTGATTAAAGTTCACCTTAAAACACAGACGGGTGTGGGGGTAAGGGGGGGGGGGTAATATCAGTCAGTGTCAGGGTGAGAGCAGAAGGGCGCAGAGAGGTGTAACGTTAGTCGACTTTCGACCACCGTAGGCGCGGAACTTGAAGGGGGTTCTTCTGTGCGCACAAGACTGATTTTCGTAACCCGATGGTGGCCACTTCTGTTGTTGCTAACAGGCGCTGGCCCAGTAGCTTCGGATAGCTCGATAGGACCTTATAAATCGCACAAAAACCTTCGTTGGGGGTCCACACGACATCCGGAATCGACAACATGCGCGAGCATGACGCTGCTTATGCTCCTAGTTTTGTCTTTTCTCAACCATGCCAGAAGGTGTTTCCGTGTTCTCTTGAATAAGCGCCGATTCGTGTGACCAGTATAATTTGTTCCACTGGTGCAAGTGAAGGAATAGATGCACATTGAGGTGGTCTGTGATAGCGACTTATCCATACATTCGCTGCGTAAAATATGGTTAGGAGACAATTATATTTGAACCCTTGCTGCTGGGAAAGTTTGAGAGACAGCTTGATCAAGGCGTATCCTTAGGAGTTCACTCGCAGCGTCCCCTTGAAAAGGAACTTTGAGGAGTAAAGTTTTATTTTCGGCAGTCGGTGTGGTGGGTTGTACCAGTCGTTCGCCCATATTCTTCGCAATAAACCTGTCCGGGTACCCGTTTTCGCGAAATGAGTTCTGCATTTTTCTAAGTTCCTCCTCTATACTATCAGTTAAACAAATTTTTCTAGCCCTTTGTGCCAAACACCCGACTAGGTTTCGGTTTTGTTGGAGAGGTAGGAAACTAGCGAAGTTCGTGTATTGTTCAGACCAGGTTTCCTTCCGATAGACGCTCCTTCTGACGGTACTGTTAGGTTTCCTGCTCAGAATAACACTGAAGAAGGGGAGCCAATCGGTCGCTGCCATCTCCAGCGTGAATTTGATCGACGGATGTGCCTGATTTGCAGCATTTAAGAGGGCAGCTACGTCGGCTACTGCGATAGCAATTGCGAGGATATCATCAGTATTGCAACCATGGCGCTTAAGCTTCTCGATCTGATAGCTTAGTTGGAATCTCTCTTTTGAACGTGATACCTGCATACTTATTCTAATATACACGGTTAGTGAACCATGTGCACTTCACAGTCTTAGTAAATGCTGTCAATTAATCCCCGTTCTAATTTGGGAAACCCCAATCATTTTCCATCGAAAAACTTCCCCAGCACCAGCGATACCAACACCGACATCTCCAGCGTCACCGCCAATAACAGAATTGCCAGCGCCACCAAAGCAGCAGCTAATAACATGCCCTGCACCATATGGCCATCGCACATTTAGATCAAACATCGGTTTGGTCGGACACCTGCGAATCCATCGCAGAAACTGGCAAACTGCTATCAGAATCACCAACATACACCCGCCGTGTCTGCCTCAACTGCTCCCAGACATTCAGCCATCTCACGTGTCTGTTCGATCATATGCGTTTTCATGAAAACCTGCAGCAATAGAGCGCAGTCCAAAATCCATCATCACACCCCGTCCCGCCAATCCATAAACCCACAACCGAACTGGCTCCGCGAGCCTGACACACGTTTGAAGGAAGAATGCTCTTTGTTGCAATCTGGTGTTCGGCCAGGTAGTGAGCGGCACACGCAGACAGACCGTTGCAGCCCTTGCAGACAAATCGCAATGCGTGGCTTTGGAGGCTGCCAACTGACGGGCGAACTCGATCTTCGTGGTCAGAACTGTGCATGTGGGGTGACTGGCTCGACCACAGGGTATCAGGCCCGATCGATCCTTCGTAATAGGGTCTCTGTGGCAGTCGCACTCGAATAAGACCCGAACCTCTCCCTCTTGTTTTGTGAAGAACCCGGCGCACGTCCGAGAACAAGAAGCCGTGTGTAGTCCGCGCAGACGGGCCGGTCAGTTTCGTTAGCCACTGCACCCGATCCCGCTCCCCCCGGTCGTCCTGACTCTGTCTTGCTGCCGGAGCCGGCAATGTAAAGTAGATGCTGCGCTAGTCCCTTGTCACTGCAAGCTAATTCACTTATGAGCCGCCTCCCTGCGTCAACCATGCCAGATGGTGCACAGTGGACATCGTCACATGGGAGGACCCTAACGTAATGTCGTCGGCGGAACAACCTCAGGTGGCGGACGGGCTGATGGGAATGCACGACATAACCCAGACCTAATACCCAAACTTCCCATATACTTTTTTATTCCCGAAGCGAGCATTGTGTGGCAGTTTGACCCCACACGGCAGCCACTCATACATGCCGTCTTCGGTCCGCCTAACGTCCCTTTGCGCCACGCTGATCCCACCGCGATTTGGCGAAAACTTTATACCAATAGGCGCGCCCATTCCTGAT